TTAATTGGAAAAAACTCCCTTGTACCCCTTTCGGGGGTAGTAAAAAGGAGGATTGACACCAGGGATCGACTCTTAGCCCATTTTTATTTTCCTTGGCGATGGATGTACCGTCGCGACAAATCCAAGGGGAGGTGCCTTGGTGCATGCTATTTGCCGATGATATAGTGTTGATTGACGAGACGCGAAGCGGAGTTAACGCGCGGTTAGAGGTTTCGAGACAGACCTTCGAGTCTAAAGGTTTCAAACTGAGTAGAACCAAGACAGAATACTTGGAGTGCAAATTCAGTGATGAGACTCATGATGCAAACGTAGAGGTTAAGCTTGATGCTCAAGTTATCCCCAAGAGAGCGAGTTTTAAGTATCTCGGGTCTATTATCCAAGGTGACGGGGAGATTGACGAAGATGTGGCACATCACATCGGAGCGGGATAGATGAAGTGGAGGCTTACTTCTGGTGTTTTATGTGATAAGAATGTGTCGCCAAGACTTAAGGGTAAACTTTATCGAGTGGTGGTCCGACCGGCTATGCTGTATGGGGTTGAGTGTTGAACAATCAAGAACACATACGTGCAGAAGATGAAAGTAACAGAGATGAGAATGTTGAGATGGATGTGCGGGTGTACCAGGAGCGATAGGATTATGAATGAAGCTACCCGAGATAGAGTGGGAGTAGCCTCCGTGGAGGACAAGATGCGAGAGTCGAGGCTGAGATGGTTCGGACATGTTAAGAGAAGAAGCATTGATTCTCCTATCAGGAGGCGTGAGAGGTTGGCCATGGGGAGTTTTAAAAGAGGTCGAGGTAGGCCTAAGAAGTACTGGGGAGAGGTGATTAGACAGGACATGGCGCTGCTTCAGCTCACTAAGAACATGACTCTTGATAGGAGGGTGTGGAGGTCGATGATTAAGGTAGAAGGTTAGTAGGTAGTTTTTAGTGTTCACCAATAGTCTTAGTAGCATGGATGTCTCCTCATATTCTTAGATTTTTATTACGTTATGTGGTTTTGTTCGCCTCAGGTATTGTATTGCCCGTTGTTGTTATTTGGTACTATTTATCCTTTATCTCTTCCTTTTTCTTGTCTCTTCCTTCTTTCTTCCTTTCTTTCTTTCCTTTTCTTCTTCTTGCCCTTCTTGAGCCGAGGGTCTATTGGATACAACCTCTCTACCTGCATTAGGTAAGGGTAAGGCCTGCGTACAGACTACCCTCCCCAGACCCCACCTGTTGGGATCATACTGGATTTTGTTGTTGTTGTTGTATTTCAGATATGGCTGAACGTGAACATGCTCAAATTGCTCCAAGTAGGAGTGATATTGATAGAGGATCAAAAAGAAATAGTAGAAGATGTCACAAGAGGATCAAAACTTTAGTTGATTCAGATTCAGAGCCTGAAGTCAAAAGAAATGACTCAAGGATGAAGCAGAATCTGAACAGAGAAATAAGGGCATGTAAAAGGGAAGGAAGAAGACTTCTTGAGGATTTCAAGAAAATAAAAATGGTTCCTTTTGACTCTTTGCTTGATTTTCTCAGATTTTTTAGGATAAAATTAGATGAAATTTATAGCAAATTCCTTAGTATTGAACATAGGGATGCCTTCATCATTCTGTATCATTCTTTATCAGATTTCTGGAAGAATGAACTTATTGAAATCTATGGCGAAATTGGGCCTAATGAACCATTATGGAGGTTCTTGGTGGCTCTAGGAGTGAGATGGGTAAATATTTCCCATGATAACTTAATTTAGTTAAGTGTTTTTTTTATGAACTCCTTTGTTTTATTTTTGATATATTTTGAATATATATCTCTGTGTTTTGTCCTATTTTGAATTGGTTGTTATTCTATGTTACTCTAGAATATGGTGTTAATAATAAGACTCAAAATCCTAGTGATTACAGTCTTCATCATATTAATGCACATTAAGAAATTAATTTCTAATTTTGGTTAAATATTTAGATCGTGGATGATAATTGGATACTTACAAATCCATTGATTTTATACTAAATGTGAAACCTTCATTAGAATTAATTTGCTTGAATGTGTATGACACATGCATAATTGATAAATAAATTTGTGTGATTGTCTCGTAATTACAAACATGGCATCAAAAAGTATTATTGCTGACTTAAACAAAGATGAGAAACTAAATGGTGATAATTACAACATCTGGAGTCGTAAGAAATGGTATGTCCTAGATGAGCAGAACGCTCTTGAAGGCATAAACCATGTTCTAAGTCAACCAGAAGAGGGTAACACTGCTCAACACAGAAGAGATCTCGAAGCTTACAAAGCTTGGAAAAGGACAGATTCCATTGCACGTGGAATCATTGTGAGTTATATGGTTGATGAACTGATTCGTAAATGTGAGGAATTTCCTAATGCTCATGCCATGTGGTCACACTTACGAGGAACATATGGGGGTACTTCTGTGACCCACCTTAGACAGCTGACTATCAAGTTTGACACTTTCAAAAAGCATCATGATCAAAGCATCAAACAACACCTTAGGGTGATGTCAAACATGATAGCACAACTCAAGAGTGCTGGTCATGTTCTCTCGGATGAGCAATAGGTTGAGGTAGTGATCTGGTCTCTTCCCAATAGTTGGGAACATTTGAAGGTTAACTTGACCCACAATGAAAGTATAAACACTTTTCCTGATGTTACTCGACATGTTGAACATGAAGACGAGCGGCCTGGTGCTGCTAAAGCTGCTTTTAATGCCTTTGTGGTTGAATCTAGTGGTACAAAGTCTTCAGGCTTCAAGCGCAAGAAAAATTAGAAAAAGAAAGGAAAGGGTAAGGAGACCGAAGAAGGACCCTCTGAAAAAAAAGGACAAACCAAATTCGAGGAAGGGAAAATGGTTTTTCAAGAAGAGAGACAAAAGCAAAATAAAGTGCTACAATTTCCAAGTTCTAGGGCATTTTTCTCGTGAATGTACCGAGCCGAAAAAGGTAGCATTCCTAAACGCATCTCTGACTGCTATGTATGTTTCAAGCACTTCTTTACTAACTGAATCTTATCCTATGTGGATTATAGACTCAGGATCCACCGACCACGTGAGTCGAGATCGAGAAGCATTTGTGGAGTTTCGTCGAGTTTCACCTGGATCAAGGTGGATTTATGTAGGAAATAATGCTAGACTTGAAGTCAAAGGAATAGGCACTTGCAAAGTAGACTTGCGTGGTGGCCGATCTTTGATGTTACATGACTTCCTATATGCTCCAGAGATTCGACGAAATTTAGTATCTGTCTCTGTTCTATTGGATGTTGGTTTCGATTTGTTTTTTAGTCGCAATGGTGTAAGAATATCTCTAGATAATGTTTATGGTTTTGGACTTCGTTATGATCGGTTTATCATTTTAGATGGTAATCTTTCAACTTATGACTATTATGTTGATTGTTGTATAATGGCATGTTATTCAAGTAACAATGATATAGATGTTATTACATGGCATGCAAGATTAGGTCACATAGGGCAAGATCGAATGAATAGGTTGGCAAAGAAAGGGCATTTAGGTTCTTTCTCCAAAATTGATATGCTAACTTGTGAAAATTGTCTTGCTGGAAAGATTACGCGTAAACCATTTGGGAAGGCTAAAAGAGCTGAATTCCCACTTCAATTAATCCATTTTGATATTTGTGGTCCAATGAATGTGAGGGCAAGGTCTGGTGTTGCATACTTTATTACATTTATTGATGATTTCACGCGCTTTGGTTATGTCTATTTGATTTCTCATAAATCTGAAGCACTTTAGTGCTTTAAAAGGTATATGAATGAAGTTGAAAATCAATTAGATAAAAGTATAAAGGTTTTAAGAACCGACTGAGGACGTAAATATTTGTCAAAACAATTTGAAGAATTATGTACTGTAAAGGGCATTATCAGATAGTTAACTACTCCTTATACACCTCAACAAAATGGTGTAGCTGAAAGAAGGAATAGAACATTATTGGACATGACAAGATCAATGGTGGCGCATGCAAATTTTTCTATCTCTTTCTGGAGAGATGCATTATTGACTGCGGCCTACAAATTGAATAAAGTGCCTTCTAAATCAGTATCTTCCACTCCTTATGAACTTTGGACTGGTCAAAAAACAAAGATGAATGATCTACAACTTTGGGGTTGTGTTGCATATATTAAAGATCGTATTGGTGAGTTTGGTAAACTAAGTCCAAAAGAAAAGAAATGTATCTTTATTAGATACTCAGAACGCTCCAAAGGGTATGTCTTCATTGATGAATTGGAGGATGGAAGTATTACTGAAATTGTATCACGAGATGTCAAATTTTCAAAAAATAATTTTCCCAAAAAAAGGGTGAAATAAATGAAGGTGAGCCTCTCTACGAAATGTTGAATTCAGAAAATCATATAATGTCGTCAGACATACTTAATAGACCAATGGATCAAGAAATGGTTCCTGGTCCAAGTGGGAGTTTTGAATCCCAAATCCTATAGAGGAATCTGAACTTCAGTTACATAAGAGTACAAAAAAAGTGTACCTAAACGATCTTATGAGATTGAGGATTATGTTTTCTTGGTATCTCTGACAGAATTGGATGAACCTAATTCTGTGACTGAGGCTTTATCGAGCCCTAAAACGGATGAATGGTTAAAAGCGATGAAAGAAGATTAGAGTCCCTGAAAACCAACAAAAGTCTGGGATCTAGTTGACCTTCCTTAGAGATGTAGAGCTATTGGGAATAAATGGATTCTAAATGCAAATCAGATGGGTCAATAGAAAGATACAAAGCACGATAGAAAGCTGATCTTAGTGGCGACATTAAGTGGCGACTCACTTGGTCGCTACAAAAGATAAAGGTATAGCAGCGATTAGTATGTCGCCGCTGAAAGAAAGCTATCAGTGACGACTAAAAATGAGTCGCTACAAAAACTAGTATCGCCTAGCCCTGTTAAAATACACAAAGTATAAGGGCTTTTGTGGTGACTTTTGGTGTCGCCACTAAATCTATCCTATTCAGTCACCCCAACTTGTCCTATTTTGTACAAAAAGCAAAGTGAACAAAAATAAACCCTAAAGTAACAAATCTCCTCCTCGTAAAATATCTAACTTGCTCCACCATCTCAACCCCAAATCACCTTGACTTGCTCCTCACTGAAGAGGGTCACACACTATCAATGGTGAACACGCTCCTTTTTGTCTCATTATCTGGCAAATCGAGCGCTGACTTCCTTCATTGTTTCTTCCTCTCTATATTTTGTGCTTTCTACCCTATTGAGGTGAAAAATCTATTCCTATTTCTGTATTGTGATGCTTTACGGACTATGCTCATGTACAGGATAAGCGATTCCATCTGATGGTGATTGGTGCATTTTTGCGGCATGAAATTTAGGGTAAGCACGATCTTTAGCGATTTTTGGTTATTTATTGTTGCAAAAGTATAAAGTTAAGGCTTTGTCATGATATGGGATGTTCTTTTTAATATAATATCTGCTCTCTCAAGCTTTAAAATTAGTGGGTTTGATAATATTTTGGAAATTTTAGGGCTTTTGTGCTTGAATAACTCGGTGCTCTGGAGTGTTAAATTTAGGTAATTTTTGAAGAATTTGGAATGATTCAATGCTCATTTCTATTAGTTATTGGTTGGTAATAGCATAGGTTTTAGGTCTCCGAGTGAGAATTTGTGTTAATTTGCTTCGTTACTTTTTCAACAAATATTTTAAGGTAGGAAAGCAAAATAGACTTAGGGGTTGGTCCATCTTGTGATCTTTTAAATGAACAGAGAATCTGGGATTTCACATGTATTTGGTTAGTTGGTTTATTAAGTATTTGAGATTCCCATCTAATCAGATTGGTTGCTAAGTAACTAATTGGCCAAATTGGAACCAATTGCTCTTTGTCATCACCAACTTCTGTTTATTTATTTATTAAACGGATTATTCATCCAATCCTAATATTGCAAACAGGTTATTCTTGGAGACATTTTACTTATTGGTGAACTGCATCAAAAAATCTGATAGAATATTCTTCTCATGTTTAATATTACAATAGCCTCCTCTTAGAAACCACCGCATGGACTTTATTCAAGTTTTTATTCTTTTTAATCACCTTGTAGTAGGTTTCATCATCGAAGTGTTGTTCCGTCAGGATGTAGAAGTTGGAAAACTAGTTTGAAAGCTGTATTGGTATGTGATTAAGTCGAAAGTATTTTACACTTGGCAAGGTAAATCGCTTTTTGCTATATTTAAACCACATTTCTTTCCGCGCTATTTGTTTATTTTTTCCCGTGGAGAAAATTTTATCTGAAGTTAGTAAGCAAATATTTCCTAAAGAGATTGATATTTCAGCTTATTAGAAACTTAAGGTACAATAACTTTGGTAGGATGCATTGTGGTTAATGAGTTATGATATTGAGAGTTAAGTGTCTAGGTTGTTCTTAAATATTAGTCTTAAGCTCATATTAGAAAAGTAGCAGTTAACTGTTCTAGTTTTGTGATAGAGATATTACATGCATGTCCAAGTTATACATTTATAGTTGGTTCGTGAGTTACAAACTTGCGAGTTATACACAACTTTACTTTCCTTAGTCATGTATCAGAATGGTTGCAGGTCAGTGTTTGTATCAGCTGAGTTTCTCATAATTTTTGGGATTGATGTTGGCGAACTCCATGTGGGGCTACATATAGGGAAAACCAAGAAAAAGTAAGCTCTGTTTGACTTTATCCATTTGGTGTGGGTAATTTATGATTTGAAATAAGAACAGACCTGGAAAGAAAGAAAAGAAAAGCTTGTTGGTAATACACCTGGTAACTCTTTGCATTAGTAGTGGTTGCTTGAAATATCTAGAATTTATAACAAGTGTTCAAATAAAAAGTACTCTAATTGAAACCACTCCACAAAACCTGCGATTTATTTCGTGCTATTGGATTATCTATAAGATTTTATCTTTTGCTGTTATTTAGTTCAGTTATTTATATTACAGATAGTGGACAACTGTAGAGTATATTAAACTACCACATTATTTGCAATTGTTGTCATATGCCACTAATAAGGTAGTAGTTGGTTAGCTAAATCTTGCTTCTGCAATATGTATTCTTTTTTCCACCATTCAGTGATATTCAATAGACTTAAGGATACTTAAGGATGTTTAACTCGCATGAGGTTGACCTTATTGTGCACAGAAAAAGGGATAGAATTGATATTGCACTATGAACACTTCATCACATAGGATATAATTTTTTTCTTGTAGGTCTTGTCAACACACTTCATCTCTGGAATTTAGTTTATGAGTTTCTTGAAGTGCACATCTTATTCCAACCAAAGTAATATGAGATTAAAGCTTGAATGCAGTGAAAGGGAGTAACTTTAGTCTTCATTTTGATCGTGACTTTTAAAAAAGCATATTAATAGGATTGCATCATTCCATTTTTATGGTATCAAAATGCGTTGTCTAACAAATCTTCCGAACTTTCTTTTATAGGTGATAACGGAACTGTCCAAAGTGTGCGCAAACAATAATGGCATGCCATCTTATGGAACATCGCAAAGGAGCTGCACAGGGGGATACGCCAATATTATTCCCTAGAGGTTTTGTTCAGGATTTTTCTCGCACCTTTGACTTCATTCTAGGATACGAGAGAAAGTCGTGGTCTTTAGGAGGAAATGATTCTAGCCTAGGAGGAGTTCCAAGATATTTTATTTTTATGTTGTAACTTTTTTTTGTGTTTCATGTGTATACACAATTACTATATATTATGAATTTGTTAATAGAAGTTCATGTATCATTTTGTTTGAAAATTGTCTTCAATGGTGTCTCTTATAATGTTAAAGTTGTTCTAATATACATTTGTGCAATATTAGTACAGAATTGTTGCTGCATTTTTTAAAAAATAAAATAAAAAACAACTATTTGTGGCGACAAAAGTCGTCAGTAATACATAGCTTTTGTGGCGATAAAGACTTGCCACTGAAAGCACAATGTTTTCAAAAAGTCATTTTCCAGTAGGTTTTGTCAACTTTTGTGGCCGCTATAGTCGCCACCATTGAGTCTTATTAATAGCGACTCTCAAAAGTCGCCTCAAATAATATTTAGTAATGGTTTTACTTGGAGCGACCATAAAGTTGTTGCTAATTACAAAAAGTCATTTTCCAGTGGGTATTTGTCAACTTTTGTGGCCGCTATAGTCGCCACTATTCAGTCTTATTAATAGCGACTCTCAAAAGTCGCCTCAAATAATATTTAGTAACGGTTTTACTTGGAGCGACCATAAAGTCGCTGCTAATTATCTTTAGTGGCGTCTTTCAGGGCTTTTGTGGCGATATTTGTCGCCACAAATTTTCTTGTAGTGCTAGCAAAAGATTTTACTCAAGAAGCTGGAATAGATGAGGAAATTTTTTCACCAGTTGTGAAGTTTACCTCTTTACGATTATTTTTGGCTATTGTTGCACGTTTAGATCTAGAATTACACCAAATGGATGTGAAGATCGCTTTTCTCAATGGAGAACTAAATGAGGAAATCTACAAGGAACAACTTGTAGGTTTCGTTGTTAAAGGCCAAGAAAAGAAAGTTTGTAAATTGAAAAGATCAATTTATGGCCTAAAGCAATCTTCAAGGCAGTGGTACTTGAGATTTCATAAGGAGGTGATTTCATTTGATTTCACTATGATCGATGAAGACCATTGCATCTATGGGAAAAAGTCCAATTGTAGTTCTTTCTCTTTACGTGGATGATATTTTATTAGTCGAAAATAATTTGGAGTATGTAAAAACTGTTAAGTCATGGCTTTCAAAGTCATTTGACATGAAAGATATGGGTGAAGCAGACTATATACTGGGTGTTAAAATTCAAAGAGATCGTTCCAAAAAAAGTTTTTGAGTCTATCTCAAGAAACATACATAAAGAAAATTTTGGAACGCTTTCGAATGAATAGTTACAAGCCTATGGATACTCCAATAGCAAGAGGTGAAACTTTAAGCCTTGAAATGTGTTCAAAGACCGAAAAATAAAAGGAAGACATGTCTCGAGTTTTATATTCTAGTGCTATAGGGAGTCTGATGTACGCTATGATGGGTACTCGTTCAGACATTTGTTATGCCGTAGGTCTGGTAAGAAGGTATCAATCTAATCCCGGAAGAGAAGTGTAGATTATTCACTATGCTATAGGTTTGCGTAGGAAATAATGATATTTATGTATTGTAAAATAACTTTGTTGTTATGATATTCTCATCAAAGTAAGACTATTGAATTTATGTCTCATATGCATGTGATAATGTTTTAAAAATAAAATGTGTAGGACAAGTCGCGAGATTGGCTCTCTCACGCGTGCAATCGCCTCTTACGTCAGAGAACGTGAAGAGATAATTTTCACTGTCATGCTATGACTTGTTTTATAAACCAGACAAGAGTCTCTATAAGAAAATGAGTTTGAGGATCACTAAAGAGAGAAACTCGGGTTAGACATCAAGAGGTGTCTAGACCAAGGTCTGTACGATGTTGGATAATTAAAAGAAATGAGATGCATGCACCAGGATAAGGTGGGAACATCGTAGCACGTGTTTCATACCACGTGTGTTAAGCGACCAATGGGTTAATGAAAGAATGGTTCCTTGCATCTTCATTGTGTGAGACCCTGAAAAGTTAAAATTAACTTTTCATTAGAATACCCTTTGACTTTTTACCGTTTCTTGAAATTTCGATCAATGTTGCTACTTTAGCATGTCACTAATAGCCATGAATGATTCGGCAGTGCAGTGCATATCTAGGAAAGCATTTGATTTGGAACAGATAGATTCGAGTAGAAAGGGAAGGCGATTAAATTAAAATAATCTGACTTGTGTACACAAGCCGGCTATTACACTGACCTGTAATTGTGTATATAAAGTTAAACTTGAACTCGAGTTCACCTCTTAAAGAGGATGAGGGATCGAATGAGTAGCTACTGAAATAGTGAAGTCTGCGTATTGTGAGTACTGATATCCTCATATTAAAAGTGAATTCTTTCCATACGTCATTGAATTCCTATATAGGGCTTATAAAACCTTGAAGGCAAGCCTTGATGTTCACAGGTCGCACGAACTATTTGTCGTATGAATTGTGTGTCTAGTTGATGTAATATTGGTTTGGGTCTTGTCCACCATGTGCGAAGTGGGAGATGTAAGTTTTTGGGATCGTGCGTCGCCCATGTGAACCGACCCGATCCAATCTTATCCGACCCGTAAATAAAGGATTATTTGGTTTTTTAAATAAAGGATGAACAGTTGTGTTATAACTGTTCAACCTTATCCTTAAAAGGAGGGGGAACAGTTATAACTGTTCAAATCCTTTTTGAAAAGGAGAGGGAACGGTTATATGATAACTGCTCAACTTCTCCTAATAAAAAGGGGAAGTCTTCTGCTTCAAAAGAGACAGCACTAGAGACATTACGTAGAAAACAAAAGGAAAAAAAACCAGAAAGAAGAAAAAGCAATCCTGACTTTCTAGATTATATCATCACACTAAAAGACATTTAGTTTGTGAACTTTAACCTTGATTTCCTAGTTAAATCAAAGGACACTTGGGGCAGGTTCTTTTGGGAGCAACAACAACAATATCCGCCGCGTATTTAAGGTACACAATCCATTATTTTTGCTCCGAATTATATTACATATACAGTGTAAGTCTGAAGTAATATGATAGTAGGTGTCCAATGATATAGTTAAAAAAAGGAGAATCTTCAAACAAATAACCATCTAGATTCACTTTTTATTTTTGGTAGTTGGTATACATAGATTATACATAAACTATACATGGTTATACACATATTATATATGAATTATACATATATTATATATCCCCGAACTATTTTTAGTTTAAGCGATCGGTGAGCGACTATTTAGACTAATTCTTCTAAGAGGAAGACCATCTTTGAAATCAACTTGGACTCCTTGGAAAAGATAGTTTCAGTTTTCAAATTTGACCAACTCTGATATGATGTTCTGCTAACCGTGGAAGTATCTCTAATGAAAGTTAATGTTGAGTCCACTGCTCTCTTTGTTTATAATTAACAAATTGTCAGAATTGCAATTAGGTTTTGGAGCTACAATTTAAACATTTCCCACAGTTTGCCATGATCGGTTCAAGTTCGATGCACCGACAATATAAATAAAACATATTTATATTATCAGAACACTTATAAAATAATTATAAGTAAATCCTTACAATATGTGTTAATTAGTAACCTAATTTAAATGATAGCTACTTACTTTGCTATAAATACTCGATTCTGTAAAAAGTTTTGATAATGTCCGTGTACATAACTTAAATCCAAATTAAGAGTCCTAATTAATCTTTGGTGTTGACAATTTTTATTTGACTCTTAACAATAGTTTAGATATATTTTGCAGCTTATAATGGACAATTAGATTTCTTGCGCTAGGGACTAGTTTATTCTTTGTTTACTTTGACTTTTTGAGTTTGACTCATCGTAATATAAATATTTCTTTTGGCAAGTTTTAAAATGATAAACTCTTACTAAAGGCCCGTTTGGTCATAAAAAAAATTTCCTTTTTTACCGGGTTTTTTTATATTTTTTTTTTCGGAATTAATGTTTGGCTATGAAAATGTCAAATTTCACTTAGAGTTGAATTTCAGAATTTTTTGAAATTTGAAAAACTCCAAAAAATTATTTTACAAATTTTTTACTTTAGAGAACATACAAAAATTTAAAAACAGTTTCGAATTTTATTCATGTCCAAATATAACTCTAATTTTTAAATACCATTTTCAATTAAAAAAAACTTCCTACATTTTTTTTTTCGTAATATCACAATTCTTATGTCCAAACGCCCACTAAGACATTTGAACTGATTTCTTTCTTTCTTTCTTTTTTTTTTTTTTTTTTGCCTTTTGAATTTGGAGTAAGTAGCTAATTGTGTGTTAAAATGGTGTAGCAAAGCAAAGTGCATGTATCATAGAAAGGTTTTTGGATTTAAAAATTATTATTTAGTCTCAAGCAACCTAGATTGATCTATTATTTAATTTAAGTAATTAGAATTAATTAACTTTAGAAGCTTCTTTTGTTGACTAGATAACGCACGCACGGTCAATCACAAAGAAATTAATGAGATGTCTCTGACTTTATAGAGTTATGTTTAAAGGGCAGAAACCTATAGGATCACTACAAAGACAAGAAGAAGAAAAAAAATTTCAAGAAATTAAAGACATATGATGGCTTGGTTTACTGCTTTGAATAATTGAATTATAAAATTTTCAACATGTATTATATAAAAAATATATTTTTTGACTATTATTTTGAGAGCGGCTATACAATTTTATTTTTCCCAAGAGGGGAAAGGCTAATAGAAATCAAACTCATATCTATTGTGTAAAAGATTTTGGCTGATATTACTAAATATAAACGTTAATGTTATAGAATATAGTAGCTCTAAATGAAGGGAAATATTTGCGTAACTATAAATATTATTACTATATGACAAAGAGGTCATAAGTTCAAGAAATGAAAATAATCTTTTGAAGAAATATAATGTAAAATTGCATATTAAAGATAATTATATCATTTTTCGAAACTCGCGTACAGTAAAAACTTAGTACATTTAATTGTCTTTTTTAATATAAAAACGACAGTATTAGATAAAATATATAATCACGGCATAAGCACTAATGTCTACTTTTGAACTTTGGAAGAAAGCAGCAAAAATTACTTTGCCTTCTAGCTGGCTTGTTCCTTTCATACTTGACATACTTTAATGATGATCATAGCTTATTAATATAATATTACCTATTAACATGAATAAATG